GGAAAAATGCCCTAGGTGGGTAAGCACGATGAGCGTAATGACTTGGAGGGATAGTTGGTGTGCCCTCTGACCACCTGACCTCAGGAAGAAATCTTTAACGTTCACTTGCCCCTCGAAGGAAAGGGAATGCCAGAGTGTCTACTTCTTTACCACTCACCTATCCCTAGAAGGACAAGGAGTGCCAAAGAGGGGCAACTGTAGACACCTTATTTTAAATCTAGTAAATTCTATGGTTTTTTAAACCCTTAAGATCACACTTAGCCTAGTAAACCCATTTTTTTGGATAAGTACGTGTAGGTTATGTGAGTATATCCTCCCCAACGGATTTTGACCCTTATAAACCCTCTTTTTGTGGTCATTTGGAAAAAAAAAAGAGAGAGACCAAACCCTAAGAGAGAGCAGATAGAGATAAAAAATCTGAGAGACCAGAACCCTAGGGAAGAGAACAGATAGAGATCAAAGAGAAAAAACCAGAGAGAGTTACATGAGAGAAGAGAAAACCTTAGAAACTGATTCAAGAACCCGAGCCTCATGAGAGAAAACCTAAGTCTGAGCAACCTAGACGTAGGGCACAACTACCCTAGATCTACCCTTAGGGCACAAACACCCTTCTTCAATCAGAGACTTTCTGGTGGACATCCGACTCAGAGAGATAAAGGTAGACCGGTTCTAAGACGGGCGAGCCCCAGAAGGCTCGAGAGGCCCGGGCCATCTGGTCCGATTTAGTATCGTTTCTTACTATTATGTTATTTATTTTCTGCTTTTATTTCATTTTAATTAGATTAGATTCGTTTCTATTGCTTTTTATTTCTTGTTTCATATTCATATCAATGTTGGCGCTGCCACTGATCTGAGAACAGATCCGCTCGTTTATCGACGGATCTGGCCTCAGATCAGAATTCAATTTTCCCCACATTCTCTATCATCTTCTTTTAAAATCAGTTTGTAGTGTTCATATCTGAGGGATCTTCCTCTAAAAATCTCTCTGATTTTGTACTATAAACAATATTCTTTTTTCTTAAATGCTCATCTAGTGGTTATAAGAGGATACCAAAATTTCAAATCCCTCAAACCAGTTACTTACCCATGGGAGTAAATATAAGTTTTAGTCTCATAAGAGCATGGTATATGCACTTTCTTGGATACTGGGCCATTTGAGAAAACTTTGTTGGATCGCCGCCTCACTATTCTGATCTAGAGTGTAGAACGAGAGATCTATGAAAACTTAAACAATTTCAAACTTCTAGAAGTTAAAATCTTTGAGTTCCCACCATCCCTTGTGGCACCATGCAACTTAGCTAGGCAAGGTGTCGTGAGGACCTACGGGTAGCTGAGCTGGGCACACCAACGCAGTACAAGTGGTGGACACCGAGGTGTGCGCCTAGGCACGGCGACGCAAGGGCCTATAGTAGCCCGAGCTAGGCACACCCACGTGGTATGGGTGGTGGGCAAGCTCGAGCTTGGCAAACCCACCGCGGTACACGCGTGCATCGTGCCAAAGTGCATTAGTGCCGTGTGCGCGTGCGCAGTTTTTTTGAGCCAATTTTGTGGCTCTCGAGCCAGCCACAAGGCACGGAGAGCGGTCATGACAGGCAGACGAATGCACCAATGATGGGACAAGGGGTGGGGCAGTGCGCATGTACACAAGAACTTTAACGCAAGGAACTTTGTACACATAATCGATTTCAAGCTTTGAGATCTATCAATTTCAAGCTTTGAACTCCCACCATCCCTCGTGGCGCCATGCTTTGAATGGTAGGTGGTGATGCACCCATGCCCGCAACGTCGTGCATTGAGGTGGTATGGGTTGTGCGCAAGGCTATGTTATATTAGTTTCATCCACAGTATGTGTCACTCAGAAATTTCAGGTGTTTTGAGATGATACACATAGTTGGGCGGATGGGCACCAACCATCCTGTCGCCCTGTCTTGGTGCACGGGGGTCTCAAGAGTGGGCATTTTGAGGATTCTCTCCATAGTCGACGGATTTTTTTCTTAGACCCTTGCAGTTCTTGTACCTCCCGAGAATAACTCAGTCTGTTTTTTCATCTTTCTTATAGCTTTGCTCTCTTTTCTTTGTTACTTTCCATATTATGGCTTGAAATTCATTGCTCATGGGTTGGTTGATCCGTTACATGGGTCTCTCTCTCTGTTTGTGTGTTTGCTTTGTTGCGGCCTTAAATTTCATTGAGCCTAAATTGTTGTATAGTTAAGAATGTAGGAGTCACAATTACTTCTTGAAATGAAATCCATGGATTACAGTTGCATTTGGGTGGTAATGCAATTTATATTGGGACTATTTAAGCAAGGGGTGTAGTTTTTATGTTAAAGAACCTTCAAATGGATCATCTTTGCCTTGACTATTATAGTTGTAAAAAAGAAAAAAAAGATTTGAAGCCCTAAAAATAGTGAATACTGTAATACTTACCTAGACTATCTATTCTACCCTAAAATAAATGTACATGGATTCATGAGATATATACCATTTTTTTTCTTCATATTTCATTGTCTGTGTTAGAAATGTTTTTAAAGCCAACATGGAGATTTTTGATGCTCAAAATGTTTTTCAGATGAAGATTCGAGGTGAGGCTTTGCTTTTCATAAAACTCGGGCCTTGTAGAAACTGCATTTATTGTAAAATTTAAAGGGATGCGAACAAATATGCTTTTCTTTTCCAACTAAGAATTCGAAGTGAGGCTTTGTTTTGTTTTCATGGCCTTGTATAAACTGCATTCATTATAAAATTTTAAGGGATGCGCACAAATATGTTTTTCTTTGCAATCGAACGAATTTAAAAGGATCTGCACAAATATGCTTTTCCAGGTTCAAAACCTAGACCCGAATACTGTTTGGGTCTGGGTTTGGGTCCACCAGGACCTGACCCAAATAATATGGTTATATTTGGGTATTTATAAATGTTTCCATTACATTTGTTTTTTAGGAATTTCCAGTTCTTACATACAATAGTAAGGAAATAATGTTGTACAATAATGTAAATGTTGTCAATATATAAGTAAAAAATATGGCAAAAAAAAGCAAAGAAAAAGAAAACAGAAGCTCATAGTTATAACCCACGTGTCTCACAAAACCATTAGGGTGGCAATGGACCTAACCAGACCAAACAGATAGACCCTACCTTGGGTCTAGTTATGGGTCCAAATTTTAGACCCGAGAGGTCGGGTCTAGGTCCAGCTAGACCCAACATGTTGCCACCCCTAGAATTATCAGTTTCCTGGCTCGAGATAACCACCAGAATTTCAGTCAAATGTTTGTGGACTTTTGATCTGTTGGAAGGCAATCTCTCACAATTGTGAAGCCCTTTTTTTTTTTTTGGGGGGGGGAAGCATATACCAGTCATATTTCCTTTTGGTTTTTAGTTTTTAGGCGAAAAGAATAAATTCCCTTTTGGTTTTTAGTTTTTAGGCGTAAAGAATAAATTCCCTTTTGGTTTTTAGTTTTTAGGCGTAGAGAATAAGTGATCTGTTGATAATTTATTCCTAGAAGTGAGTAGTATTAAATTCTAAATAGATGTAGAGATGGGAAGAGAGAAATACACGAGGATTTTCTTTCTTGAATTAATGCACTAATATATCACATTTTCTGGAAAGAGAAGCAAAATCATAAGGAGTGAAAAACAGCCCTAGCAGTTTCAAATTTTTCATAGAAAATCATTTGCCAAAAATTGGTAGCTCCAAATATTGCAAACGTCGCCCAAATTTGTGAGAAAAGCACAACATAAACTATATCATGGTACGTAACTACAGCTAGTTTATTGTTTCTTAGAGTTCATGGAAGGAGGTGAGAAGTATTATTTGGAAGCCAAAAAAATAAAGGAAAAAGCTTATATAAGGATGCTACCTTATAATGTAGAACTACAGATGTCCCTCAAAAATCCATCGGAAAAATGTCCTTTTAATGTTAAATAAAAAGATTTTAAGACTCAGAAATAGTGCATTTTACAATATATGATCTACACCGTCCATTTTCAAGATTTTCATATGTTTATAGATCTATTTGTATTTTAATTCATTTTTAAAATTTTAAAA